TAATAATATAATTCTCGCTATTCATATAAATTGTTCATCCTATTTTTCTAATATATATATATATCGTCAAGAGATTATTAGCTAGATTGATTATCAGTAGTTTCTGTATTATGAAAACAGTTGGATATGGACATTGTTATTCTAATATGATAACATGAATTAAAATAAATATTAGAGTTGATTGGATAATTACGTTTACTGATAAGCGCAAGCATCATTTTTCACAAGGTATCTTCTAACTCGTCTTTCACCTTCATTTTTACATAAACAAATATCCACTTTCTAACTTGTCTTTCACAATTCAAACATTATATCTTACAACGTTATGTTTATGTAAGTAATTTTTTTAAAAAATATTACTACCTTGCGTCTTTACGATAATAAATAACCTTGATACTCTCCTGTTGTGTAAGTGTAAGGCATGTCAAGATTATCGACATCTAAATTATTGATTGACGAATAAAAAAGAAAAAAGAGAGAAAATGATGTTGGGGTTGGACATCATAGACTTGAGGGTGTTGAAAGCCTGAAGGTTAAATACTCAATCGATATGTTCTATACAGAAAATATATATATATATGTGTACAGATGATTGTACACATGTAAACTTGATCAATCATGAATATGCGTGCCGAGAAAAAAAATGTAACATTGATCAATTAGTTTCTTATTCTTTCTATCTTTTCATGGACAGAAAAAAAATGAAAGAGTTGAGATTTATTCATTCACTCTCTATATATATAGTGTGTCCTAGCAAAATTATGACTGAGATTCCCGACATAGTTAAAGCTTTGATTTGTGTTCGAAGATTTGGACAAACTACATCTGATCTTCATTGACACTAAAACGTGTCAGAATATTCAAGACATATATTGATTATCATTTGCCTTTTTGACATCATTCCGTCAGTCAGTCAGTTATCCTTTATAGGTTATTATATAAGCAATAACGAATATTTTTAAGTAAAAAAGATTGACGACATGTCCATATTTATAGATTACCTCGAACGAATATTCAGTTAATATTGATTAAAATCTAAACTATGTGACTTTTTGTATTTCTGATAAACTTGACCTTGTCTTTTTTGATTGGTGATGGTATAATGGCAGACGTTCGCATATCATACTTAATAAACTGAAGTATATAGAAAATGTATTACATGATACATATCTTCTTGTTAAGCTCATATTTCAAGGACACGACAAAAATCATCAGTGCATATTCATCTTTATCGATTAACTGAAGAAAAACATCAAGGAAAAAAATCAAAGACGAATGTTTGTTTTTGTATTATTAACTACAAACTATTTAGATTGAAAAAAGTTATTAACATATTTATTGATTAGGAATATTCTTATCTATTTATTTCATCTGTTATTAAGAACTATTATGACGAGATATGAGATTATTAAATTGAATTTTCTCATCTTTGTTTTGATAATATCAAATATCCAAGATATACATACATACATATCAACGTTAATTGAAAAAAATATATAAACATCTTATATGGAGCATTTTATTATTCTGTATTTCAAAGATTGGTTTAATTCTATTTTTAAATAATAATTGAAAAACAATATTTTAGCATTTTTTACTACGTAAAAAAACAGAAAGGGGAAAGAATAGAAAAGTCGAAAGAAAGAGAATACGAAAGCATGTGATATAAATATGACGGTTAAATTTACGTTTGTACTTGATAATTAATCGATCCTTAGTAAGAGAAAAATCAATCGAAGAAAAAAAACCACGAGAATCATCACTCAATATAGGTAAGACACCTGAATGCATATTTATCTATAAATTAATGTGCTGGAAGATTTGGATGATTGCGATGAATCGATTCAATCTTGTTCATATATGAAGCGTAGCGATAATAATTTTTCATACGCTCGTCAGTGTGTTATAGATAATATCATACTAACTACGATTTTTTTATTTCGTATACTAGCAAACTTCTAAACACCTGTCATTCTTTTTCTTTTTCTTTTTTTTTTATATACTTCATATATTTTTATTTTAGTTTATTTTTACGATTGCTTTCGAAGTCTTATTGTATAGAGTTAGACACACTATCAACTAAATATACACACGTTCTATCGACAGTACATACATTTGCGAAAAAAAAACCGATCAGCAACGCCAGCGATTTTTTTTTGTTTATTCTCTCGCCTCTCTTTCTCTGTATTCGTAGGTATTTCTTTTTTTTTTATTTTGCGTTTTTCCCCTTCTTGCATTTTCTCCCTCCCTCTCTCTCTCTCTCTTTGCTTTGCATAAAATTGTCTTGTTGTTTTCTTTTTTTTCTCTCTCTCATTGCTGCGTTCGTGACCAAGATTGTTATTGCTTTTCAAGCATTCTTCTTCGATCTTATTTATTATATCTACATCATCACCATCACTAAATCGTAATAACAATAATAAATGTAAGTGAATAAGAAAATTTATTCAGATAGAGAAGATATAAACTTTCAAGACATATAGATACGAGTGTTGATTGTCGTTAGATATAAATGCCTCTTTTTTTTTTTCATTTGCCACTTTTATAACAGACACACAGACACTAATGTTTTTTTTTTGTCAAATGTCATTGTTTAATGATGCTTAAATTAAAGATATCTTTTATTTCTAGTGTAATTATGACGAGGTTTTTATTTATAATTACCTTTATATTATTATTAAATGTAATTGATTGTCGTTATGCTGAATGGGAAGAGATAAAACCTTATTGTAAAGCTCGTCCAAATCCACAATGCTGTCAAAGTCGTGACGATGATTGTTTTATGCCATATTATGATTCTCGTTGTTATTGCGATATGTTTTGTTTTCGTGGTATTGATAATCACGATTGCTGTCCAGATCATGATGCTGTATGTGGTGGACAAAGTCCTCCAGAACCATACAAACCACCACCAACAGTTGCACCAGCACCAGCACCAGCACCCAAT